AGGTGCTGGGCTGGGACTTCTGCGTTTAGAGTTTCAAATCAAGGTGAAATCCTGTTACACGCGTTTAGAATCCGTGACAAAAAGTGCAATTTTCATTTGTTCAATGACTCTAATATTTATAGAGGAGGTGGGGGAAACCTATTGGAGTGAAATAAAACCAAAATATTATTTTCCAAAATTCCGGACTTACGCGTTTAGAGACTTACAGGGACGATTTGCGTTTGTCGCGGCCCGACCCGCGAATTGTGGCCGCGATTTTTGGCATTTTTTGGTTTGCGAATCGCGGCCGAGATTTTTCCATTAAAAAAAAAGACAAAACAACAAAGCAACTTCATAACATATTAGACTTGTATTTTGATAAGTTTAAGATGTCCATGTGTATCTATATTCATGCGGAGAATATGAGTACATTACATTACCCACTATTTATATTGCTGTCTGTCTTTTATTTTCCCCTCTTTGTTGTGTTTTGATTTGTGGGTGTGTTAATTTTTCTAAAAAAATGTTCTAAAGATTTGTTTTTCTTTTTGTTTGTGTGTGTTTATACAGCGTAATGTCATTTAATGTAATGCTCTTCCTACCCTTTAAAAATATGTGTTATGTTAGAGCGTGTCTCCACCAAAACCTAATACTGACAGTGGCAGCGCCCCTTAATGTGTGTGTGATTCCATAATTTACATGAATATCCTGTAGGCCTACCTTTTCTTGAATTACACACGTTTAGGGTTAAAACAGCCAATCTTCGGATAGGTGGACCCTTATTTGTTAATTTTTGTGATTGTTTATCCGTGCTGTTCTAATTTTGATTTCATTCTATTGTGAAATCTTTATTTTTCACGTTTTAGCCCTATGGGTGACTACAAATGATATTCTGGATGCTTAAAACAGAGCACAAGAAATTATGGTGCTTTAGATTGTTACCTCTATCAACATATTGCTATACGTCGTCACAGAGAGTTGACAGCTTGAAAATTAAAGGCAACTTTTTTGGCAAGTTTTGACACTTATTGTGGCAACTTTTGGACAAAAAAATGGCAACAAACGCGGATGCTAGGTTAGAGGAATTCTTCATTGAGTTTGATTTTTTTTAAAAGTTTCCTTGCTCCTCAAGTTGAACGAAGCTATACAGAGCGATAAAGCACAATTGGAGAGGCCAACAAACCCCACAATCCTCACTTCTTGGAGGGGTACTGTCAGTAATCTCCGTCTAGATCTATAGAAATAGAAAAGACTGCAAAGATATTTGTCTTATATTTATAAAAATAACAGCTCGTCCGTCAATGTCTGACGATGACCAATACATCCGAGGAGGAAAACAGTTTTAAGCGAAGTAGAATAATTAGAATAATTAAAGGTTCAAAATAAGATGACTTGTGGTTTCTGCTCTCTTAAGATTAGTGGGTTTGTTTTTCAATAGCACAGCTTAATTAATGTAATTTGTACATGCAGCTGGAATACCAGTAGGCCTATGTAATCATTTCCCCCTGAGTAATGGACTGAACATTTAATCTTAAAAGCGGCGATACGGTATCTATGACCCCTTGTATGATACAAAGTTGATTTGTTCCACAGGTCTGATTAACTATCAACAACCTTAGAATAATATCTATTTATAACCTCCTTGATAACCATCGATGACCACAGCTGGTTCCCATATCAACTAGCCTCTAAAGGCCTTGTTACACGTAACGACAAATATTGTACAGTTCCGAATATCGTATCATCCATCGCCGTTACAACAAATCGTTACGTGTACACTAACCTCAAAATTGTACATGTCAGGTATAAAAAAAATAGACGATAGAATGGACACCCGATCGAAAAGCGCATGCACATGTAGGTTTACACGCATTCACACACATTCATACCCACACGCACAAACTTATTAATATACATACACACACGCACGCACACACACACACACACACACACACACACACACACACACACAG